TAACACAAGGCAGGATGACAGTTGCCCCAAACCGAAATATCCCACGAATAACTCGTCCCATGCCATGTTATAATGGAGCGCGCGGCCACGCCCACCGTTTTTCAGAGATCTAGAGTTTATATTAACAAGGGTGGCGTCGCCCACCTTCTGTGAGAGTGTACAAGCGATCTGATCGAAATCTATGACCATTGTTAATGTTTGACATAGTAAGATCGCTGGCATGGTAACCCTAGAAGCTCTAACATCGATACTGAGGTACCGCGAAGGGACAATTCGAGAACTTTTCACGGGTCATATCGTTTTCGAAAAGAACTTGCACTTGCTTCGGAATTTCCGCATCGCTCATTAGTTTTCCACTAATTTTCCAAAGCATAGTTGTTTTAATATCCCGGGACCACTTAATTATTCCCCGAGGGAATGAAGGTTTGGTTGGCTCGAGCAAGAGTTGCTTCGGGATGTACACGTTGTCTGGGAGGGCAAAAACACAACATTCCCACAGTTTCGTTTCTTCAAAAAGGGGCCTCTCTCTCTTACAGCCCCCTTTTCGTGGTATAGGTGATCAGAAAGGAATTCATGAACTCTGAAAGTTTTATTATTCTATACTTCGATTACAATGGATGAGACAATTCCTTTTATATGAGGTGTGGTTCTTTTTCAGACCTCCAGAATTGTGAACACCTCCTACAAGGACGGCATCGCTCAACTCAATATCAAAGACATCGAACCCTCGCATAGCGGAACGTATAGTCTGAGTGTCAGCAATGCCAGCGGAACGGATACTGCCAATATCGAGCTTACTGTAAAATGTGAGATTCAGTGTAAACCTATGCTAATTGTGCGTTTATGTCGTCTTGAGTGGGAGAAGATGTGATGAGAGAAGCGGCGCTCCTTGACGTCAGCGCAGTTTGAGCGCTCTAGCGGTTTTATTAGAAAGGAGGGCGCTAGTAACCTTGGTTGGGGGGTACATCATGTGAGCATACGAGCTTTGTAAAGTCATACTAAGTGTGTGTAGGTGAACACCGGAGAGTCGCATCTTATTCGGCAAGTCCTGTGAATTCTCGTCGAATAACCTGTAAACTCCTGTCACCCTTGGCGAAACGGTACTAGCGTCACTGGAACGCCACGACCCGATGTGAATGATACATTATCGTCACCGTTTTGACAAGTTTGACAAGAGTTTACAGGGTGTTTGACAGGTTGAAGCAAGGCACAGGGACAAAGTTGTCCGGTATTCACATGTATGGAGTTTACAGGAATTGGTATGCTGGCGAGCGCTTGCAGGTGTGGTCTCCCCCCCCCCCCCCCAAGGCTGTTATCGACGGTAGGAGTGGAAGGTGCTTTTGAAAAGGGTTGATAGACATCGAAAATACTCCCCCACTTCATTATTGCGTGTGTCGCTGGTGTTCGATTTGCGGCGATTTCGTTTGCCTGCTTATGACGTGACAGAAGACGGTGTGAGCTGCAACACATCAAAAACTCGGTTACAGTCGATGTTTGGATAGACTTCAGGGTCGGGTTGGAGCTGGGCACGAAGATTATTGAAGGTGCGAGAAAGAGCTGAAGTGTTTGGTTCGAAAAGGCAGATAAGAAAGATCAGCACTTTCGGATAAATGCGGGGAAATTGGGAGTAGCTGACAGAATTCTAGTTTCTCTTGATTTCCGGTAAGAAAGGGCATCTCTCTTGACGAAATTGTGCTGGAACAGTACATGGGCCACATCGACCACAGAGAGGGAGGCATTTTGCACTTTCGCTACTTCCCATCGACATGTCGA